CGAGATGCCGTGTTTCCGTAGCATCCTGAAGTCGATCTTGTCAAGCATGGGGTTGCGCCAGAGGGGAGTGGCGAGCAGTTCGTTCTTCGAGCGAGGAGGCTCAGAGAAAGGGAGCAGCCTGCGCCACGCCCTGAAGGCATGGTGCCAGAACACCGAGAGCGAAGGTCTGAACGGGAATATGGCGACTAGCCGCTGCATGGCCGTGTACTCGGCGACAGGATTGTCGGAGAGCTGAGCTGGTCTGTCAGCCACTTCGGCGAGGTGGTTGACAACCAACTTCCAGAAACTGGGGACAGGCGACAGGAAGTTGATTAGCGCTTGGGCAGCCGTCGCTGCAATGTTGGTGGGGAGATCGATGAGTCCAAGCCCAAACATGATCGTTTTAGGAGGAGCGGTCACAACCTCCCTGGCGACCGGGGAGAATCGGCCTTTCCAGAGATAATTGTTGCCAGTGTCGGACAGCGCCTTGGAGTACTTGTTGGGCATGTGGATGAAGCGACAGTGGTACCAGACGCGGGAGAGTCCGATCGCGTTGGCAATCAGGACCCTGCCAGCGATCGAGAGACTGTGGCGCGACCAGCGACCCAGCGCACGCGCGACCAGCGACCCAGCGCACGCGCGACCAGCGACCCAGCGCACGCGCGACCAGCGACCCAGCGCACGCGCGACCTTGGCTCGCAGGGGCTCGAAGTTGGCTTTGGCAAGATCGCCGTAGCCAAGTTGCACACCGAGGACTCGAGTGGTGCCGTCAGGAGGCACCCATTGGAGATGAGCCAAGCCGTCCGGCGGATCGGCATCCCGAAGGGGGCCGAGACGCAGGACGGAGGTTTTGGCCTCGTTGATCTTGAGGTTGGTAGCCCTGCCAACTGTTGCGTAGACTTCAAACAGGGCATGGATGTGGTTGGGATCCGACAGGAAGATCGATGTGTCGTCAGCAAACAAGCTGGGTTCCACGATTTGAGGACCAGACCTCAGGGCCAGAGAGAGCATCTTGTCGCGCAGTTTGTGGATGACATAGTCGGAGATGACGCCGGCGTAGATGGCATACAAGAACGGTGCTTCGACGCTCCCTTGACGCACAGATCGTTTGATCGGGAATGGAAGCGAGATGGTGCAGTTGTACACAACGCGGGATTGGCAGCCAGTGTTGAGCAGTTCCATCCAACTGATGAAACTCTCACCGACGCCGTACTTGCGGAGTGCTTGGAATAAGAATTGGTGATCGACTCTGTCGAATGCCTTCTCAGAGTCCAGCAGGACAGCAACACCCGGAATGTTGCACACGCGGCACAAATCGAGCAAGTCGCGCATGAGATGGATGTTGGCATCGATGGTACGACCAGGAACAAATCCGTTCTGGTTGAGGTTGACAATCTCAGGGGCAATCAGGGCAAAGCGCGCCATCAAGGCTCTGGAAATAATCTTCGAGTCCACGTTGAGACAGGTGATTGGTCGGTAGTTGCCCGGGTCTGAGCGGGCGCCTTTCTTGTACATGACCTTCAGGTACCCTTCAAGCATGGAGTCAGGGAGGCGTTTGTTCCGGTACGCCGCGTTGGCTACGTGGGACAATGCATAGCAGAGGCGTGCCTGGAATGTGCGATAGAAGGCACCTGTCAGGCCGTCAGGACCGGGGCTCTTGTCAGGCGCAGTGTTCTCGATAGCGACAGCAATCTCGTACGGGTTGAGATCCGCGCCCAGTGACTTCTGTTCTGCTCGGGACAGCTTTCGCGCCGGATTTGCTTGCGCAAGGACCTCGCTCAGGGCAGCCTCGTCGATTGGTTCAGAGTCATAGAGTTTAGAGTAAAAGTCGTGCAGCACGGATGCTATGTCGTTTCTCCGCTTCGGCTAATTGCGTAATTCCCTTCTGGTTTTTCTATTTAAGCAAAACCCTTTTCTGATTATCAATCAGTCTTCATTTTCCAAGTCTTCATTTTCCAAGTCTTCATTTTCCAAGCCTTCATTTCTCAAGTCTTTCTTCTCTCTTGCCTTCTTCCTCTTGCCCCCCTTTTCTCTTCTTGCCCCTAGCACGAGTTTAGACTCCCTCTTGCTATCTCACCTCTCCTTCTCTTGGCCTTCGCTATGAGTACTTCGTCTGTTCCCGGCGTCCAAACGCGCGCTGCCGCCGCTGCGTCTACGCCAAATCCTGCCCCTTCGGCAACTCCTGCCTCTTCAGCAACTCCTGCCCCTTCGGCAACTCCTGCCCCTTCGGCAACCTCCACTGCTCTTCCAGCAGCTTCCAATCAATCCTCGTTATCCGCCCCTCCGGCAATTCCCTCTCAACCTCCCAGTCAATCGTCATCGTCTGCCCCTCCGGCAGTTCCCGCCACTCCGGCAATTTCCTCATCTCAGCCACCCATCCAACTCCCTTCCGCTCCGGTTCCTCCTACGCTATCCCTCTCAGCTGATCAACTGGCAGCAATTATCGCTCAAGCCATTGCGCAGCATCAGTCCTCTATCCAACCCTTTGTTGTTGCTCCCTCTGTTCCTCCGCCTCTGCGTCCTCAGCTCACCCTGCCGGAATTCTTCACTGGCAAGGATCATTCCAAGACCAGAGACTTTCTGCTTCAGATCAGGCGCTATGTCGGCAATTTCCCCGATCTGCCCGACCACCAGCGAATTAGTACTGTGATCGACCGTACTCGCGAAACCGCTTTCACGTGGTGTAACACAGTTGCTTCTGACCCTTCTGCTCCTCTTTCCTTTGATGAGTTTCTTTCCCTTCTAGAGAGACGTTTCGGAGATCCAAATGCCACTTTCCGCGCAAATGGTCTGCTTCTTGGCCTTACTCCCTCCGGCCGCACAATCGATGAGCTGTTTACCTTCGTCCGCTCCATTCGCGA